TAGTAAGATGTTGGATAAAGGTAGTAAAAGTGGCACCTTTGGAATTAAAAAAAGTAAGTTTAGCAGTCACTGCTCAATATAAATTATTCAGTTACATTTTTATATGTGAGCAAGGAGCAATTACCAAACACAATTTGTGAGTGAGTCCACTCGTGTTAGCGTAAAAAATCGCACACCTGCATCTTTCCAATGAAAGATGGACAGACCTTTACATAGAATATTGACAAGCATTTCGAGGGGCACAGACGACCTGAGAGCAGGAGGCCGTGTTCCGGGCTCAGGGTCTCAGAGATGGCGTTCGGTCCAAACTGATGTGCAGAGCGAAGGATCTCAGTTGAAGCTGCAGTAGGTGTCCGTTCTCTGTGTATGTGAGTTGACAAGGCCATTTTACACACAGGAAAGAAGTGGGAAAAGATGAGCAAATGCAACGTGGAGGGAAAAAAGCGAAGTTGGAGCCTTTGGCTGCCAAATGTCAAACCTGATTTAATTTTTTTTTTTTTTTTAATTTGCTATAGGGCCCCTGTGTTCCCTGGAGAGAGAAAGGAAGAGAAGTGAGAAAGCACTCCCCCTCCCCCCGCCCCATTCTCCTGTCCGGATTTTGGGCACACACGCACATGTGCTTGGTGTGTTTTTAAGCTTCTGGGCCTGGGTTTCAAACAGCACAGTTGGCCATGTGGGATGCAGCCACCTTAACCTCTGACCACTTCTGGCCCCAAGACCTGTTTTACTGTTGCATTAATTAAGATAGATGAGCTGAGACAGAAAAACAGGCCAGAACAGAAGAGAGCCTACCAATAGACCCCGACTTTGCCCGCCAGGCAGGGCCAGGCGACCGTGTGCATTGGAAAGGACCCTCTCTCTTGCGTGGTGCCTGTCGCTGGCTGGCCACGTGGGGTGGGGAGGGACACGTCTTGCGTCCCTCCTGCCCTCAGCTCTGGGTGGCTGTGGCTCTCACGTGAAAGTGAAACAGAGAGAGGACAGCCTCCTCCTGACAACCGCAGCATGTGCTGACGCGAGAGCAAGCGGTTGTACCTCAAGGGAGACATGGTCACCCACGTCACCGTCATAGGGAGGGGGCGAGGCTGACTGGGCGGGACGAGGAGCTCAGACTCAGTGACCCAGGAACTCTGACAAACCAAGACGAATAAAGACAACCGAGGAGGGAAACATGGCGCGAGAGACCTGAACAGATTGGCTAGCCGCGTGTTCAAAGGTGTGGAGGCATTTTCGTAGCTGCAGCATGTGACCTGAAGTTCAATAATTTAGGGGGTTCTCTGTCTTAGCAGTAAAATAAGGTTAAGCAAGCGAAGTTTTGATTTAGGGTTCTGGAAGAGTTCATGTTTCTGGGCCCTAAATCTGTAATTAAAATAGGAATATGAAAACAGAGATGCTGTATGAATCGCCCACCTGTCACAGGTGCTGTAGCATTATTTAGAGATTAATTACATTTGCACCGAATTTTTACCTGATGCCCCCTCTGCTAAATCAAGTTGGCATTAAATGACTACTGTTTCCCGTAAGGGAAATTTTGTGTTCATTTTTAAAAATGAGATTTACTCTTATTATTAGTTTGATATGATAAGTTATTTAATTTATTACAGATATTAAAATAATTATTTCATTGTTTAAGAGTTTATTTCTTCCATGAGAAAGAGAGAGAGGGAGGGAGAGAGATACTGACAGAGAGGAGAGAGATGCCCCAGGGTCCTCGCTTCGCACCCACCCCCCGCTCTGCCAGTACAGATCCCGGGCCGTGTGTGGGTGCGGGCATGGGCAGGAGACTCAGGGCAGGAACCTTCTCACGTGAGCCTGGTGTTGTGGAGCACCGTGCCACTGCTCGGCCGGCTGGCCCTGAAATAGTTCCCTTCGCCAAAGTAAGAGAATTGATGTGTTTCTTAAATCCCCTGTAAGTGGATAATAGGTTTTTGAGAAAATACATGTGTTTCATCTACATTTCATGGATTTGGAATTAGTGTGAGCTCCAAAATTGGTTGCTCGTTAGGACCTGCTCCCTTGGCCGGCTCTGCGTGCACCACCCTCCTCTTTACTGTTTGCAGGAGCTTTTTTTTTTTTTTTTTTAAGGGAAGTTTTTGCCAGAGAGACAGAGACAGAGACAGAAAGCAGTGAGAAATCACCCCCCCCCCGGGGGGATGGCCACGGTGGAGGGGGGTGTGTGGTGGTCAGTCTTAATCCTTTCTCCTCTTGGGATTTTGGGTATGCACACACTTGCACCTGGTGTGAGTTCCAAGTTCCAGGTCCAGGACCGGAAGTGCAGTCAGCCACGTGGGAGTCTAGCAGCGTAACTGCTACGCCATCTGCTAGACCCTGCAGGAATTTTTAAAAAAGAATTATTTATTTAATTGTATTTATCATCATCATCATTAATTTAATTTGCTGTAGAGCGCAGTTAAAAGAGAAAAATAAACTAAGTCAATAGAGTGAGTTCTAACTGAGCAAATCTTAACACTATTTAAATTGGGTAGTTCTGGCAGACTTCCGGACAGCTCTGGCTAGCCTCCTGGTAAACTCGGCATTTAAATTCTGGGAAAGGAAAGTGATGTGAACCTGACGGACACAAATGAAAGCGAAGAAATAAGGGGGGAAAACAATTTGGGTTGGCTGCTTTTTTTATTTTAAAAACTTATTCATTTATTTTTTAAAATTTTGATGAGAGAGAGAGAAAGCAAACTACTGGGTCTAGGACTTGAACCGTGATCAGCCATGTTGGGGTGTCCAGCGCCTTAACCACCACACTACATGCTGGTCCCTAGGTTGGTTACTCTTGGAAGTCTGTTTGCAGTAACAAGGTTTAAAAGGCGGGGTGCCTGTGATTGAAGCCCAGCTCCTGTGATTGGCTGTAACCTTGCAACCAGCTCAGAAAAACAGCCTACCATGTATGATTTTGGCTTATCCATAGGAATGCAAGTGTGGGAGTACAAAGGCTGTTTTAGGCCAAAAATAGCTTAATTTAACAGAACACATGCTTACAGGGAGAGCGAGAGCAAGCCGCCAGGTCCGGGACTTGAACCGTAGTTGACTGTGTGGGAGTCCAGCACCTTGACTACCATGCCACCTGCCTACCCATTTGCAGGAATTTAGCAGATTGAGCCTTGTTAAGTGACGTGTCATGAAATGGTCCTGCTTGGCTTTGCTGCGATGCTGCCTCTGGCTGTCCGTACCCGGGGGCCCTGCCTCCTTGTCTGTGTGTTGGGCTGAGCATGTGCTGCCGTGCTGCCGTGCGCTGCCCTACGCTGCCGTGTGCTGCCGTGTGCTACCGGACGCTGCCGGGCGCTGACTGGCGTCTGGGTGCCAAGTGCGGGGTTGCTGCTGGGTCCTGTGCAGGGCGAGCCTCGGTTTCTAGGGCTGGCTGGGAGCTAGGGCTTTGATTAGGTTCTTCCTTCTGGAAATGGCCCAGCACTTTGTCCTCGGCCGACACCAGGGCTGCATCCAGGAGGTGGACTTGGTGACCTCCGACCTGAGGTCCTTGACCCTCATGGGGTGCCACAGTGGGGCGGTGGCCCTCGGTAAGGGAGGTAAGAACAGCTCCCTGGTGTGGCACTCTCTTCTTTGGGAGATGGACACAGGATCTGGCCTTGCGAGAGTGGCCTGGCCTGAACCTTTGCCTCCTTCCTGGTAAAGAGGTGGGCCTAGTTCCTCTAGGGGTCAACCTTCAAAGGTGGGTGCTTCCTGCAGCAACAGGAACAGTTTAAAACCTCCTGGTGAGACCATCTAGTTGTGTTTCCTTTTTTAATGAAAATAACAGTGTGTTTTAAAATGCAAATGAAGGGGGAGGCCTAGAACAGGGTTTTCTGAGGACTAGGTAAATTAGGAAAAAAGCCAGAATGCTTTGTTCTAAGCGACCTGTTAAGTCTCACCAGGGTTTCAGAAAGTTCCACCCCTATATTTAGGTTGATAATTCTCAAATAATTTGATGACATTTAAAAATAATCACTGTGGGGCCAGCAGGTGGCGAAGTGATCAAGGCACCGACTGTCAAATGGCTGAGGAAGGTTTGAACCCCGGGCCTGGCGGTTCGGAAATCATGCAGAGCATGGTATGGGAGTCCCAAATCCCAGGAGAAGTACTGTGTGTGACCATCCGCAGGGGCCGTTCCCCCTCTCCCTCGCTCTCCTTTCTGGCAAAGGCATGCTCTGATCTTGCACTGCCCTCTGGGAGCCGCTTGAGGGGTGGGACTTCTTAGCTGGGTCCAGACTCCTGCTAAGGAGCATAAGCTTCCTACATGATTTAGGGACTTTTCTAAGGAAGGTTACAAGTCACTGACATGTGCGAGGAGTCTGAAGCAAATAGCCCTCGTGGTGTGAATGCCACACCTGCAGAGCGCGCTGCTCTAGGAGGTCCTTGAGCCAGCGCTCCTCGGCCCGACGCCTTTCCAGGGGCCCCCGCAGTCCTGGGGCGGAGAAGGCAGCTTCGTGTGTCCTTGCTCTGTCTGTGCGGACAGTCACAGTCACTGCTCTTAGGGTCACCTACTGCCACAGGGCTAACCGCACTGATAGCACGGCTGCAGGGCAGCTTGGCAGGCCTACCCTGTCTGTCACGTGAAACTTCGCACGGTGCTGGGCAGGGTGGGATAGGAGAGGCCCTCTCTAAACGGATCTTTCTAGTTAGGCTTTTATTAGGGAGAATCTGGGGGCCTGCCGTGTTTGGGAGTCAGGGAGACACTGGCGTTTGCATCAGGATATGTTTTGCTTTTGTCATTTCATGTCCCCAGTGCATTTCCAGTGCAACGTCTTATTACCAAATTAATTGAGTTTTCTGTTCGTTCAATGATAGCAAATGTTGTTAATTAAAAGTCCGAATGCTGTTTTTACGTGTGAGAACTGAGAGTAGGCTTTGGTGCAGGGGCGACACTTCTGTTGATGTAAACGTCAGGCCCTGAGAGTAGGCTTTGGCGCAGGGCGACTCTTCTGTTGATGTAGACGTCAGGCCCTGAAACACATGAAGTACTGACTTGTCATTTATTTTGGCTTTTCTTTCTACAGCAAGTTGACGTGGAAAAATGGGTACGTGTGTCCACGCTCTTGCAAAGACTGGTCTGAAGCATGCCGTGGCCTCTAACCCAGGGTTCGCTTCCGTGTGTCTCGCACTGCCAGCGCCCAGACTCCCTGCGCTGTCGCGATGAGCAGACGTCCCACGGCCTCCAGTCACGTCTGTTTCTGGGTTTGCTTCCCCTGAAACGAGGTGCGAGGTGCCCCCCACGCCCAGAACCCAAGGGTTGTGTAATTATGACACACTCCTGGCTGGCACGAAGGCGTACATCAAGTCTCCACGTCCCGCCTTAGCCTTGACAGTTTCCTCTCCAAACCGCACTGCTTAGCCTCGCTAGCTTTGGGAAAGGCACGGGGACCCACTCATGTGTTCTGAGGGGTATCCCTGGAAAGATACCGTCTGAAGGTCCCGGAGCCACGGTTGTCACGACTCAGTTTCCCCATCTACCGGGGGAAGCGGAAGGAGAAGGAAAGGGCGGGGAGGAGGGGGCCAGCGGGGCAAGACCTCACACACAGGACTCCGCATGGACGTGGTCTAGTGACACCGCTCACTCCCCTCCTGTGGGCTAGTCGGAGGCTCTCCTGCGGCTGACCTGCCTTTCCCTGCTCCGGGCCTGCTCCAACCGGTCATGAGGGTGACTCCATGACTTCCTTTCCTCCTCACTGTCCCCTCCAGGTGGCGTTTGGGGACTTGGCCCTTTTTGGTCCCTGTCTCTCGTTTCTCCCACCGCCTACCGCCCTCGGTCCTCCTGGCTCTTTGCAGCTCTTTGCTCTTTTTCTCCTTGTTCAGCCCTCTGTGGTCAAGGAGCGCTTTGTTGTTGAAAGTGGCCAATCCAGCCCTCTTTCAGTCAGTCCTCTGGTGCAGGCCCCCCTGCTGACCCTGGGCCGTGCAGGCACCCAGCCTCCCTCTTCGGGCAGGGCCTGCCTGCTGACCCTGGACCCTGCCAGCCCAACCTCTGTCTTCTGCTCAGCACCAACTTGGCTGTCTGGGCCTGGGGCTTAAGTTCCTGCTTCTGTGCCAGGGCTGGGCCCGTCTCTTCAGGGCCATGTCTGCCCCAGGCCAGCACCTCCCTGGGAGCGCCATCCTCCCATCTTCGCGCCCCTCACTCTGTGGCAGCTTCTGTGCCACCTCCAGTTTGGTGTCAGCGACCCACTGCTCAGGCTGATCTTAAAGCATTCCTCTGGAAACGGAAAGAACACTGGTAAACGAAGCCACCCTGCATCGTCTACGGCACCCCATTCGTTCCTCTGTGCGTTGGGTTGCTTTTCGCTCTCCTCTTCCCATAAGAATTTGTTATCTCAAGGTTTATTTGATTAAGGGTATTTGTGAATCTTCACGGGGGGACTGCATCCTGGCTCTGAGAAAGAAACGGCAGCATCGCTGGGCTGGAAGTGGCCGTGACCGCGTCTGTGAGCTCAGACTCCGGACGGTCTCTTGACTACGTGGAGTCCCGTGGTGTGGCCGTTATGCCATCAGCTTGTCCCACAGAGGGCCATCTCTGAGGGCCAGCTTAAGTAGTGAGCAGGTGCTCCTGGGCCCGCCCTGCCCCGCTCTTTTTTTCCTCTTCCCTAACTCCAGCGCGGGGGCCGGAGTGCAGGCCCGGGGCGCTGCCACGGGCGAGACGGGGGCAACCACGGGTGGGAGGTACAGGGCTTGCTGGACGCAGAGCGTGGCCTCAGACCCAGCGGAGCGCACGCACAGGCTACTCCTTTCAGGAATACACTGGCGCTGCTGTAACTGTCAGAGCACAATCTCGCTTCATGCCAAGTTCAGTAGTCGGTCTAGGAAGAGTGCTTTTCCACGACTCGTCTGCGCGAGGGTCTGCGAGCTGCTGGCACCTGTGCTTGGTGTGGTCTGAGCGGACCGTCTACTGCTGGCGAGGTGATGGCCGCCGAGGGGTAGTCTGTGCCCAAGGCAGGCCCCCGCGTCTCGGGTCGGCATCGTCCCTGTTGCTCTGCAGAGGCCACTTGTCTCTGTGGGAGAGGGGCTCTGTGTTGAGGCCAGCTGGGAGGGGAAGAAAGGCCCAGAAAGCCTGGCAGCTCTCCGCCTCCTGCCAGGCATCGCTGCAGCTCCGTGACTCATAGACAGACAGGCAGATCGAAGCTGGGGCTCCCAGAGGCCTGTTGGGTCATTGGTCTTTCTTTTGCCTTCCAGGGAACTGGATAATTACTTGCACATACTATGCCAGCTCTGTTTGCCCTGGAGCGGAACGACAACTCGCCCCTTTGCAGGCAGTTGTTTCCGGGTGGGGACAGACAGCGGCTGCTGTAGACCGCCCCATTCGGCGTGCTCCCTGAGGCGTGCCCACTGCGCGTCACCGCGCCAGTGACGCTCGGGTTTCCGTGGGCCGCGTCGTCATGTGGACACAGGCTTGCTGGGTGGTGCCGGAGGCCATGCCCCTCGCAGGCGCGGCCGGCCGCTGTCTTTAGTGCCAGCACTGTCTTGGCTGCCTTTTTTTTTTTTTTTAGAGGGGTTTTTTTTTTAGGGGGGGTGCGGTTTTTGTTATAGGGCGCGTGCGCTCGTCAGACAGACAGAAAGAGACAGAGAGACAGAAAGTGAGAAATCACCCAGAAGCTTGAAACTCACGCTTGGTGCGTGTGTGTGTGTGTCCAAAATCCTAAGAGGAGGATGGAGGAGAAGGGATTGTGGCCTGGCCATCCCCCTGGTGGGTGATTTCTCGCTTTCTGTCTGTCTCTGTCTCTCTGTCTGTCTCTGTCTCTCAGGCCAGCGCACACATCCTGTAGTAATAATCTCTTGTCAAAAAAATATCAGTTTTCATTTCATTGAACTGAAACATGTTTAAAAAATCAATCTTGTGCTGAAGGCAGCCAAAGGGCTGGAGGAGCTCGTCCCCACCCGGGCTGCCCCTCTGTGGGCACCAGCGGCAGCTTGGATGTAAGCATGCACTCCCTCCATCCCAGGGTCGTTACAGCTTTCAGAGGAAGGGTCACTATTCGGTTTGCATTTCTACTCACAATCATCTGCTCTGCTAAGAGAATCTACAACTGTTTCCAGATCTGCTACCCCAGGCGGGTTGTCCTTGGAGTCCGGGCTCTGCCGGGAGACGTGTTGACTACAGTGCCCCCTCCTGGCCTGAGCGTTAACGCAGTGGCGGCCGCGGCCCAGCTCTTGCTCCTGTTCTGGGCTTCCTCTGACCCCCAGGTTCTCTGCCAATTGACCCTGGAACACTGAGCTCTTGCCGCTTGCAATTTTTGCCCTAAAGAACTAAAATTCCCCCCTTTGTATTTCTGGGCAAACTGATCATCACTTGAAAACCTGTCCTAGAAAGAAAGCAGGCGGGCCGCGCACAGTGGTGTGACCCTGAGCTGCCTTCTCTGTGCGGCTCCCATGAGTGGAATAAATCCAGTACCTCCTATGTCAGACTTTTCTAAAGGGCTACTTTCTTCAGTATTTTTCTTCCTGCAGTTTCTTTCGTCTCCTTTCCATCATGTCATCAATTTTCAGGTTTTTTTTTTGCTATTTCCCTGTTTGTTGCTTTTCCCGTTCATTATTGTAATACGCAGTGTCTACACTGAGACATTCATCGCGCTTTGCTCTTCCCTCTGCTCCTGGGGAGAGGGGGGGCTTTGGAATATCTCAGGATGATCTAGCACTGAAGCTAAAATGATCAGTAAATGATCTGCACAAAAGGTTAACGTTACTAAAGCCACAAGTAATCTTTCCCGTCCCCGATTACCTGTGGGAACAGCGTGTGTCAGGACACCTGCCTTCTCCCTCACCTCACGTGGGGCTGCAGCCTCTGCAGACTCCATTCCCTGGCTTCACACGCAGGCCCCTGCCTCGCTCTGCCTGCGGCTAGACGACTGGAAATTCCCACTTGTGTCTCTGTGAGTGAAGGCTTAGCAGTGCTCTTCCTAGTTTCTCATTTAGTGATCCTCTGTCATTAGTGAATCGCATGCAGGCGTGTAATTAGCTTCAACACAGACAATGCGTTTTCTGATAACGTTTATACCAAGTACCGACTACAAAACTGCAGCTGAACAGCGTACATTTTGTAAGCCAAGAACAAAAGATTCTTTACAATTTTAATCAAAAATAATATTTAAATGAAAACATTAATTTTAATGAAAATTCCATTTGTTAAAAACATATTACTAAGTAAGTATATTTCAGGGAACAGTCTATAATATTTATAAATGTCTGAAATTAGAAAACCTTTTTTTAAAAAAAGATTTTTTGCCATAGGATGTGTGTGTTCACTGGAGAGACAGAGAGCAAGGGAAAGCGAGAAATCCCCCGAGGGGTGATGGCCACACCATAATCCCCTCTCCTCCATTTTCCTCCTGGGGTTTTGGGAATGCACACACATGTACCCATGTACCTCTGAAAAGCCGCCAGGTCTGGGATTTGAACTATGGAGTTGGCTGTGTGGGATTGAGCGCCTTAACGGGCACAGTTCCTGCTGGCCCGAAAGCCTTCCCCTACAGTTTCTTTACGACTGCCGAGGCTGTGCACCTCCGGACAGCGCCAGCGAGCCTGAGTCTGGGTACACGGCGTCCCCTTTCCTTCTTAACGAAACTGTAGGGGCCCGGGGAAAGTGACGATGGGAACACAGGGATTTGTAGAAGCACAAGAGAGCTGAAACGGTACCACTCTACAGAAGACAGTGTGCTTTCCCGCTGCTCACCTGCCGCAGCACGCGGTCGGCATGACTTGCCCCATGAGGTGCGACGGCTGACTGTGGCGCACCTTACCCGTTTCTCACCACTGCTTGTTAAAAGTAGTTGGGTTGCTGTTTGTATCTCTGCGTTTTTCTGCAAAAGACAAAGCGAAGGTTTTATTTGAGGCATTTGCAGAGGGTAAATTCACATTTCCACCCTGGTTGCCAGAGCTCCAGTGCTGTAAACCGAGTCACGCGTGGCCCGCAGCGCGTCTTCACGGGGGGGGGGGGGGGGGGGGGGGC